TAAACTTTAGACAGTGTAAAGTTTAGATAGATTTAAATATAACTATAAACTTTAGACAGTGTAAAGTTTAGATAGATTTAAATGTAACTATAAACCTTAGACAGTGTAAATTTAAATATATTTAAATGTAACTATAAACCTTAGACAGTGTAAAATTTAAATATATTTAAATGTAACTATAAACTTTAGACAGTGTAAAGTTTAAATAGATTTAAATATAACTATAAACTTTAGACAGTGTAAAGTTTAAATAGATTTAAATGTAACTATAAACTTTAGACAGTGTAAAGTTTAAATAGATTTAAATGTAACTATAAACTTTAGACAGTGTAAAGTTTAGATAGATTTAAATCTAACTATAAACTTTAGACAGTGTAAAGTTTAGGACACACTATGTGATATGTTGACCTGAGGTTAGAACACACTATGTGATATGTTGACCTGAGGTTAGAACACACTATGTGATATGTTGACCTGAGGTTAGAACACACTATGTGATATTATGAACCGAGGTTAGAACACACTATGTGATATTATGAACCGAGGATAGAACACACTATGTGATATTATGAACCGAGGATAGAACATACTATGTTGTTATGAAACTGCACAGAAAAACAGAGGGCGCGATTTGTTTTATGCCACGAATGATTAATAGTATAAATATACACACACACACACACACACTTATACTTTAAACCTACTGCATTCAGACTAGTTTGGATAATGATAAAAAAAACAGTAGTTGGTCAAAATGTGTGATTATTATAACATGCTTTATTTTCAGACCACATAAAAAATATACGAGAGAGAGATAATGAAAAACAGCCGGAAAAATTACATTGGGCGAAACAGTGAACTGTAAAATAAACTTTCTGGAGATGGAGCTCGAGATAAAACTGACCGTCTAAACATCACTGCCTTAACCTTTCTTTCATTTTGTAGTACTTTGTTTTTTCAATAAAACAATCCAATCATTGCTCATTTTAACCAACAGGTGAAGTCTACGTCACGTTATTAAACCTCGTAAGTAGATACTGCAAGTCATAGACAGGGTCAGTTCGTTTTCTGACTTTGACCCTGACCTTTCACAGTTAGCGGTTCTATATAGGTCAAGACAATGTCCCTTCTGCCGTGAGATATGGAGCACTGGGTTGAACAATGGCTTTCTCTTATCCCAAAATCAGTGAAGCTGAGGGGAATTAGTGTGTTTCGGTAAACAAATAAAGTCTGTATAGTTGGACCATATGAAATCACTCATTTAGTTTTTTCGATTCACATTTTGCAAAGCTTAAAGTTATATTTAAATCTATTTAAACTTTACACTGTCTAAAGTTTATAGTTATATTTAAATCTATTTAAACTTTACACTGTCTAAAGTTTATAGTTACATTTAAATCTATCCTATCCTCGGTTCATAATATCACATAGTGTGTTCTATCCTCGGTTCATAACATCACATAGTGTGTTCTAACCTCGGTTCATAATATCACATAGTGTGTGTGTTCTATCCTCGGTTCACAATAACACATAGTGTGTTCTATCCTCGGTTCATAATATCGCATATTGTGTTCAATCCTCGGTTCATAATATCATAAAGTGTGTCCTATCCTCGGTTCACAATAACACATAGTGTGTTCTATCCTCAGTTCATAATATCACATAGTGTGTTCTAACCTCAGGTCAACATATCACATAGTGTGTTCTAACCTCAGGTCAACGTATCACATAGTGTGTTCTATCCTCAGGTCAACATATCACATAGTGTGTTCTATCCTCAGGTCAACATATCACATAGTGTGTTCTAACCTCAGGTCAACATATCACATAGTGTGTTCTAACCTCAGGTCAACATATCACATAGTGTGTTCTAACCTCAGGTCACCATATCACATAGTGTGTTCTAACCTCAGGTCAACATATATTACATAGTGTGTTCTAACCTCAGGTCAACATATCACATAGTGTGTTCTATCCTCAGGTCAACATATTACACAATCTAGATTCCGCATGTTGAAAAGTAAGGGGAATATACAAAGCTATTATTTGACAAATTATTCGACATATTTCATTGAACGCGTGTCTATCAGCGATGGATATTTCTCCAAAACTGCAGTGATAAACACGGACTTCTATAACTAAAATAAGAATAAGACACATCAGCATTAATCTATCTTCTCGTTCTTTTTCGTCTCTCTCTCTCTCTTTATAAAGAAGACAAAAATGGATTGATCATAACAAAGACACGCATATAACCAAAAATGAAAAAACCTGGATGTAACGAGTAAAATATTAACTTCTATATTCATGGCCTGAAAATAATTTACTTCACACAACATTAAATTATGTAAATCATATTATACGTAAAGCTTTACATTCGATGTTAATGAAAACCTTGATCTGGATTTGATTATTATTGAAGTAATCCTTCTATAACCTAACAGTTTCCTACCTACATTTCATTATCGCTAAAGTGTTTGACCCTGGCGATGACCTTGTGGGCCAAATACTATCTACATGTTTATCTGGCTTTAAGATGCTTACACGTTTATAAAGCACAAATCATTATTTGTCTAGTATGACCTAGTTACCTAAATAAAAGAACGGGAGCTTCAAAAATACGATCTGCCTGCTTCATCTTGACCTTCAGGTCACCAACATACTTTGACCACCGTGTTGTGAACCTTATGATGTTCAGAAGGTAAACAAAAATAATCAGTTGTTTTGAAATGTCAAATCATGGGAGGAGACTGTGCTAATTTAATCCTTTGTGTAGCTATTAATCGAAACTAAAAGCTGAAGCAGAAAAGAACGGGATATTCAGAGCACACAAGTAACATTATCTCGCTCTTTCTGGATGTTTGTTTGTGTGGTGTGTAATTGTAATAGGAAACGTCTTGTGCTTTTTGGCACTCATTATTTTCGACAGCAATCCCCGCTTTGTAAACTAAACTGTTGTACAATATACTATATTGAAACCTTGAATGTACAGGGTGTCCCAGAAGTCTGGACCCGTAGGGAAAATATACGTTATACTCTTAAAGTTAAACAAACACATTTCTAATGTCAGTTGTACATGTACTAGGAAAGAAAACACACTGATGACACAGTATACCAAGAATTGACATGTGTATGCTGTTAATCGCATGCAGTTTGAATAATAAATGAATTGTATATTTTTCCCTATGGGTCTAGACTTCTGGGACACCCTGTGTTATGGCCGTTAGACTCTCACTAAACATTTGTGGCTGTCCAAGAGTCTTCCTGTAGTCTGTAAAAGAACCTTGAAATATACAAAGTTCATTACCTCTTCCCCCTCATGACATTAACCCCAAAACGTACATTATCATGGTTACCCGAGGCAAAGTTTTCTCGCCATGATTAATTGAAATCCATTTGAACACCGGTGTTGAAAATACGGGAAGTTTATTAAAACTTTTCCAACTTACATTTCAAAACCTCTTTATGTAAATTTCGCATTTCAGCACTCTTTTTTTTATATTAAACTATTCACGACCTCTGAGTTTATCTATTCTTTTATAGCCGTTATTTCATTTCATCTTATGAGTTCCTTAGCCCAGCCTCGGAGATAAAACACACAAAACATTACACTCTTCCTAAATGTACGATTTTATATATATATATATATATAGATTTCTCGATAATCTCAGTAATGTGATGAATATAACCTAAAAATTAACCCAATAACTTTCCCTTTACCTTAAAAGCTGCACATAACTTACCCTTCGCAGGTTATGATACCGTAGTGGAGTCCTGTGGCTTTATCCTCACAAATCATACACACCATTGGCTGGTCTCTTTCCTCCTCCTCGCCTCCAGGACCACGAGATGTCGATGGTGCAGCCACCATGGTAGTTAGCTCACCTTTTCGACCATTTCCTGATACACTAAGATTTAAAGCCTGAGAGTCTGGTAATTGGGTGGGAGAAGACGGTCCTGGTTGTGGCAGTTTTTCTGACCAAGGTACAAGACTGGTGCTCACTAAACTACTGCTCCGGCTACGAAACTTTGGTATTACATCCTCCCTGGAAGTAGCAGTTGATGTTGCTGGGTATTGTAACCTTTGCACATTTGTCCCGTACTGGAGGGTTGAGGAGGGGTAGTTTTCTTTTACAGAAAACCCATATTGTCCAACAGATGGTGCACTAGAGGTTATTGGAGATGTAGATGTTGAGGTGTACAAAGAAAGTGGTTGGGGTCGAGTGGACACTGGACAACCTAAAATCCCTGTTCTTTCCATACTAGACACACTGTGACGACGATTTACAGCAGTTTCACCTGTTATCACAGTACCTGTCGTATCAACGTGCTCAGACTTAGACGTTTGTAGACCCTGAGATGGACTTTGTCCAGTCCAGATCATTGTTTTACCAGGACCAGAGCCAGGAATGTCTCCCATTACTAATGGCATTTTGTACTGCGACGCTACTCTTAACAAGGACAAACCTTGTTGCTCCTCCTGAGGTCGCTCTTCATGAGCAGTGAAATGACGTCTGTAGGCTTGTGCGCTAGAAGGAGCCCACAAATAAGGATTCAAATGAGGAAGTTCTTGTACACCGCCTCTTTGTCTCGTTGGTGTACTTAGATCCAACCCTTGTTCTTCGACTCGCTCTTTGGGCTCTCCAGATCGAATTTCTGAACTTTCTGGAGCTCCTTCCAGCGCACCTCTCCCTCCACCATCAAAGACGTTATTATCTTGAGTGGACCTTGAACCGCTGCTTAATATTTCTCTTTCCATTTCGGAGGTAACCGCTTGTTGATTGGGTGACTGTGCACTTTGTGTCGGCGATTCTTTCATAGACTCCAGCTCCTCTAGCATATTTGTGTCAGGTTGTTCAACGGGAGACCTGATAGGATCTTCGAATTGTACTTTTGGGGATGTTTCTGTTCCTTCTTCTGATCCTATGGAGAACTCTCGTGCAAATTGACCTAACTCTCCCTCCTTCAGAACAGGATCCAGAGTGGTTGCACTGTCAGGCGAAGAGTTAACAGGATCAGGATTGGTTTCACCGTCGCTACTGCATCTTGAGTCAACTTTTCGACGCTTCAGTTTGATGTCGTGAAATAAGCTCATCTTACGCATCCACTCCAGGAGAAGCGGGAACATACTTCCTGGAAAAAGTAAAAATATTCTCATTACAAACACGACTTCAGAAAACTAGTTAATTAAAAACACGACTTCTGAAAACCAGTTTAATTAAAAACACGACTTCTGAAAACCAGTTTAATTAAAAACACGACTTCTAAAAACCAGTTTCGTTACAAACACGACTTCCAAAAACCAGTGACGTTACAAACACAACTTCTAGAAACTATTATAACTAGTTTCATTGCAAACACAACCCCTAAAAACCAGTGACATTACAAACACGACTTTTAAAACCTAGTCTCATTACTGTCACTACTGCTAGATTTTAACTAAAACATGTTTTGTTAAAGATTCGGCTTTATAAACTGTACGTGTTATTTATTCAGACACATGCAGTAATCTGATGATTCTGTAATTAATAATGACCAACTGAAATGAGTCTGTTGAGACTTTAAAAACTCTGCACACAAAAAACACGCTATTTTCTTTTTCCACTACTACCACGGTTTTGACATGAATATCATTGCATAATTGGCTATCTGCTCTATGGCCACCGCAGGGATCGAATATCTATTTATGTTTAGTGTTATAGATCCAAAAACTAGTCGCTGATAGTTATAGTAAAGCCAGTTATCGAATATAGCTGTACTTTGTTAAAACATCGTAATGCCAAACTATATGTTTCTGCGATTACTAAATCATAGTGGAGACGTGTGAAGTCTTCAGAACCTGCAATATGTGAAACCAAACAGCTCCAGCCTATAAAACCAATGGATTAAAATAAGATTAAAGAAATACACACACATCCTAAATATTTAGGATAAAGCTACCACAATGAATGTGTGTATCAGTTGACGAATAATCATAAAAAGTTTCTGAATTTTATTAATTAAATAATATAACACTTGTGTAGCAGAAACTAAAGATTATTATTGATACGAAGTTGCTTTGGACGACAGTGGAGAAAAGAAACTAAATACACCATCTAATTAAATTAGTTCGTTTTAAGAACTTCCTAACTTGCAAGAATTATTAGACCCAGTACTTCTATGAGATATGGATTTTGAATTATTTTCCGTCAGTGATTTCATCTTGTCCCAACGGGCGTGTTCCATGGCTTCCTCTTACTTCAACTTCATAGTTACGACCTTTGGCTCCATACTATCCGTAGCTATTCTGATTCATCTCTCTAAGATATGTCTCTACCATTGGTTGGCTCCATCTCGTCCTTCCTTACTTTTTCAGTTGTATTCCTTGTTTTTCATATCCCTCTCACTCAGGTATGGTTTCACCATTAGCCCATACTTGTCCTGTGCTTACTTTGTTTCAACAGGGATTGGCTTCTCCACTGGCTCCATCTTATCCTCATATTCTGAGTCGTATTCTTTGTTGTTGTATTTTTAATTTCCTTCTCACTAAAGTACGGATTCAACATTAACAAATTACTCAACGCCCAACAACCGAGAATTACAGACACAGACAATTGAACAGAACATACATAATGTTAAATAAACTCCGTAATGACGTTTGATACTTAAATTCCAACGACTTACTCATAAGATATTATCAAGTTATTGGTTAGGGACGAGACTGGGCATGAAATACAATTCAGTATTACTTCCTGTGGTATTATATCCTAGTCAACACTGTTGCGAACAAAACCTACATCACTATAAGCTGAATACGAAAATGTCATACTTCTAATAATCGACACTAGGGCTGCTTATAAAACTGTAAACACCGAAATTTTTTTCCGGAAACGTTTTCCAGTAATAAATAATTAGAAAAGTCTGCTGAAAATTCAAACCGTTATAAATACTTCCAAGATGTTTTCAGTATGCTTATGTATATGTGCGTGTAAATGATAAAAAAGTAATAGCGAAATACCACTATTATTGCTATTATTATATATCATGATTGCGCTTGAAGTCTTAATACTCGACACCAGGTTTGTTATGCGTGTGTTAAGCCAGGAGTTCTAACTGTTCTTAGCATAAGCCACCTCTCCCCCCAAAAACATTATTCCGCATCCTGACTGAGGTCCCCCCAATGAATCTATAGGTTTCAAGCAGAGTGTCAGTATTTTGTGTTTTATGTATTTGCTACGTCCCTTCTGAAGTCTTTCTACAACCCCCAGTTTGGAAACCCCTAGGTTAAACTATTCGCTACGCCCCCCCCCCCCAGCTTTCCTGGCCGGCCCTCAGTTTGAGAACCTCTGGGTTTGACTATTTGCTATAGTCCCCCCCCCCAGCAGATTTTCAGCGGCCCTTAGTTTGGAAATCTCTGGATTAGACTATTTGCTACGGCCCTCCTGTAGCTTTCTTGCAGCCCCCAGTTTGGAAATCCTGGGTTATACTATTTGCTACGGTCTCCCTGTAGCTTTCCTACGTCTCCAATTTGAGAACCTCTGGATTAGACTATTTGTGACGGTCCCCTTGCAGCCTTCCTGCGGCCCTCAGTTTGGGAACCCCTGGTTAGACTAAACTAATAGAAATTTCAACCGCAAAAGCCTCGCCAGGGAATTAGTATGATGACGTAATCTACAGATTATCTGAATTCGCACAAAACGTCTGTTATTGTAGCTCAAAATACTGTAGAATTCATAATTTGAAACAGCCTTTAATCATTGTCTTAGATTAACTGTAGGCTTAGTGACTTTGAAGCTCTAATGTGGTGGCACTTAGGAGTGGACAACGTTTATATATATGTATATAATCATTTAATGCATTTATTTCCGTTCCTGGTTGGTCATCTAAAGCTTGTGGTAATAGCACCCAAAAAAAGCGTTGGGGATATCCCATCTATCAAACAAAATCCAAAAGGCCGAAGTTAAACAAGTTGAAAATCAAAACAAGGTTGAGGAGGTGAGTGCTTAAACCCACACCATCTCACTGTTTGAGACCGTAACCTAGTCCTCGTCTGGACTCCAAGCAGAATCCGTTGTTAAAAACTTCACATGCAATACTGTACATTAGTTCTTCACCAACCAGCAAGTCAACAATGTTACACATTGCAACTGAACATATAATAATAAACATTTGTTGGCTTTACCGCTTTGAAATGTTCTATTACGTTTCACATAAGTTCCGGTTACCAATTTGTATTTCATTTTTCAAGACATGTGTCCATTTTAACTGTCATCAAAATGATAACACGTGCATAACGCCCCCTACTAAGGACGTAAAAAGTATTAAATTCGGCGCTCTGTGAGGTAAAGATGCCAAACATGCTTACCTCCGAGCTGTTTGTTTTTGAATTTCGCGCAAAGCTACACGAGGGCTATCTGCGCTAGCCATTCCTAATTTAGCAGTGTAAGACTAGAAGGAAGGCAGCTAGTCATCACCACCCACCGCCAACTCTTGGGCTACTCTTTTACCAACGAATAGTGGGATTGACCGTCACATTATAACGCTCCCACGGCTGAAAGGGCGAGCATATTTGGTGTGACAGGGATTCGAACCCGCAGATCGAGAAGTCGAGCGCCTTAACCACCTGGCCATGGCGGGCCTACCTCCGAGCTTCAGTTATTCGAGATAATAAAAGTTAGCTCCCTCAGAAACTGTGGCAAAGCGTAGCATTGCAACATAAATATTTCTATGAATATATATTTAAATGAACTCGGACAAGAAGAAAGGATAGAAAGCTTAGAGACTATTATATTCCATCAAAAGTTAGGTTAACCCTTATTTTAAACTTAAATCAACTGGGGGCCAACGTTTGTTCTGCAGGACCAAAGAGAAAACCTCTTGCTTGCTACAGGTTACCAAGACTGTGGAAAATTTGCCAGTTTCAACCGTCAGCCCTCCAGTGGTTCAGAGATAAAGTTGGAGGTTTATACGCTAAAAATCGAGGTTCGATACCCGTGGTGGGCAAAGCTCAGGTAGTTTGTAAACTTATTGTTTCCAGTAATATTCTCATGTTGGTAGTACAATATGCTTGTAAAATATAATACACTCACACCGACGCCTTTATCAGAACTATAATTATAGCAACATTAAAATTGATATGGAACACCGAAATAAGTCATTTAAAATGAAAGGAATGGTAACGTGGGTAAAATGAGACTTTTAAAAACACCCCAGAAAACTTACAAGTCACCATAAGTATACCTAATAACGTTTTATCTTTATTCATACTTACTTGTCCCATTTACATGTGTATATATATATATATATATATATATATATATAG